TCCACCTTGGACGCAAACGTTACGGAAGTGCTACGCAAACGGTACGGAAATGGTACGCAAGTGCTACGCAAACAGTACGGAAGTGCTACGGATGACGCTTACAAACGGTGATTCGTTTGTGGTGACAAGAACGGGTTTACATAAAAAGCGGAAGCATATAAAATATCTAAAACGAAACGAACATACCCACAATACATAGGAAGAACCGTCAGTACACTGTAGGCTACGAGGATCGAGGCACATAAGAATGATTTAAATTTTGCCATTTCCTTTGTATAATGGATGAGTGTGAAACAAACAGAAATGTCTCGTGATTTAGAAAGGTCGATCAAATATTGGTACATGTAATATATCCATCACAAAGACCTGACGTACTCTAACAGATCAACGCGACACACAGATAATAATAAGTTATGGTCAGAAGTATTTCCACCTGCTCAACGAATAAGATACTAATTAATATTGACAGTAAGTAAACTTGTTACGGTTTTTTTAACGAGAAACGTAATAATTAATAAGCCTAATAATAATTAAAAATGATATAATTTCAGACTCCTGTGTTAAGGATCCAGTACCTCTATTTTTATTTTTTATATCGTCTTTAATACTTCCATACACTTTTAGATTTTTCGTAGGATTTGGAGACCGATAATGTGCTTAATTATTAGTAAAAGCAAATACATGCATCGGAGATTTGAAATGTATACATGTTATACCATGTCAACTAATTAAATTTCATACACAGATAAACAGTTTTTTTTGTTATACATATTTTATTTTATTATGAAAATGTAGTTGATTCTTGTTTAAGTATACATTGTACGTGTATATTGTTACGGGAGTTATTATATATATTTTTTCAGTTTGAAAGGCAAGCTCGTGCATGTAGGAAACTATTATGAATAAGAAAAATAATATGTACTAAATATATGTATTTTTTACATTCATGATATGTGCCTCTAGTACTAATAAGAATATAGGTTTTCTTTATCGATCATAAAAATGTAGGTATCATTACTGACTTTTCTACAGGTAAATCCTACCTGTCTCAATCCTGGTACAGGAGAAACTATGACTGTCTGGCACACCCTGAGGGGTGTGTACTACAGAGGCTATAGGGGTCTGATGTCAGATAATATATAGGGACTGAGACCAAGTCAAACTTCAATATATCTACAATATGTATTTCTCCGTTTGTACATGTACGTTTGTACCTAAACAGGCGTGGATCAAGGAGGATGTGGGCTTAGGGCGATAGCTTCCTGATCAGGGTCCAGTATTTAATAGATACATTTAACACTCATTTATAAAAAAAAAATCACTTTGGGGGGGGGGGTATACATGCATATCTGCGTGAGGATGCTCACAATCTCTTGTCTCTAGTTCCACATTAAAACGTTATGGCGTTGAGGGAAGATGATGACATTTTCCTAAAATTTCAAGTTCACTTGTCTCCATAATTTTTCGTGAAATTGGTGATGGGGAATGATACCGCACACAAAATCAAATGAAAACGTTTGCTTTAAAGTATACGTGTCTGACCGTTGTCAGACTTTTTATAGACAACGCCACAATAGATGAGTGGCAAAACTACATAACATTTTGTTTGTCTGTGCTCAATACATGTGAGTGTAAGTGCTACACTATTTCATATTTTGTCATACATGTACGTAGCCTCATCGCCTGGTTCAAGTTCAAGTTCTTTATTACTTTGAGTCGTTCGACTCACCAGTTACAAATTATCAAAATTTGTGATATTAACTGCGCAAAATACAAAATAACATTACACAACATTACACATACTCACAACACAATAACAAGTGCAACTATACCTATTTATAATAATAAGGTTCCTCTCCAATGTGAAAATTTTATATATTTCCCTAAGTTCGTTATTTCTTTTGTATTTTTCACACTCAATAATCGTTTCAATTTAAATATGCTTGGCTTTTTAGGTCACCTGAGACAAAGTCTCAAGTGACCTATTGCGATCGCCTTTTGTCCGTCGTCGTCCGTCGTCCGTCGTGAGTCCGTAAACAATTAACATTTTCGACTTCTTCTCCAAAACCCCTGAACCAATTTCAATGAAATTTTGCAGGGACCTTCCATGGACAAAGGTCAACAAAAATGGTGGCCGGTTTAGTCCCAAGCCCCCGGGGGCCTGAGGGGCGGGGCCAAAAGGGTCAAATTGACTAAAATTTCAAAAATCTTCTTCTCAAGACCCAGATATGGTAGAATCAAATACTCTTCATACATGGAAGGGTCTTAAGGTGCTTTACCAAAATTGTGAATTTCCCACGTTCCCCCCTGGGGAGGGGGTTAACTTTACTATAGTTTATATAAGGAAATCACATTTTGGACCAACATTTGTTTAACTTCCATTGGAAGTAATTCAATTTGGGTTAGCATTATCAGTATTAGGTAGCAGTTTGATAATAAGCACCTATGAGCCCTGACTGACCCCCAAGGTCCGATGGGTGGTGCCAAAAAAGGGTCGAGTTTACTGAAATTTCAAAAATCTTCTTCTCAAGACCCAGATATGATAGAATCAAATACTCTTCATAGATGGAAGGGTCCTAAGGTTTATGACCCTAGGGTCTCACGTTTACCCCCTGGGGAAGGTGGGGGGGAGGCAAAATTTATTATGGTTTATATTGGCAAATGATATTTTGAATATTACATGTTAATAACTTGATTGGAATTATAACCTTGAGTTGACAGTTTGATACTTTGAAAATTTTGAGCCAGCCCTACCCCCAAGGGCTGTAGGGTGGGGCTCAAAGGAGTCAGTGTGCTAAAATTTGTTTAGAATAAGAGGTGCTAGTTTCAAATACTTTTTAGTATGAAATCTGTATGCTAGATATTGAATAAGGTGGTTTTATTGATTTTTGTCACTTTGAATAATATTTCTGTTCATGTTAAAAACAAAATCAACTCTCTGTATAAATATATCAGGTGACCGTTAAGGCCCATGGGCCTCTTGTTAATATAATAAGTTTTCAAAACAATTGCTCGCAAATCAGAATGACATGATCTTCAACATCATCTAAATTACAAACATTACACACTCGACGATTCAATGTTTTGATATCGCCCTGTTTCTAATTTTAAGTTATGAGGAGATATTTTTTTTATTTCTTTCAGATATTCTTTTTGTATTGGTTTACGCAGGTAGTTTTGTAGATCAAAATGATCGTAAATATATCTATAAAAAATTGCTTTTGAGAATATTCTATTTTTTTCTGCACATTCTTCTCTAAAAATATCAATACACCTTTCTTTAATTCATAAATAAATCCTGTTGTCGTTAATATAATATTTCCAAATATACCCTAGGCCAGGTTAATCCCAGCCTCTGATATATACTGTCCACTGTGTAACTTGCTAAAGGCGCTAAGTGGTACTAATTGGTCAGCTGTAAAAGTCAATTATCTTTTTCACTGAACCATGTAAGTTCATAGGTACACTAGCCCAGAACCACTTGACTGATTTTTGACACCTTTATAATTACCACACACAGAGAATGCACTCCGTTAACAAACTTACTATAGACAGAGACGTATTGTAATATATACGTCTCTGCTATAGAAAACAAGGAATCACACTCTATTTTCTCAGGAACTCAGTCACATGATGACAATAAAGTTATCTTCACAATGATTTTTTTTATTGATTACTGAAAAATATCATCATTTTCAATAATCTGATATGAAAAGTTTGTTACGTATTAGGGTAAGTATTTAACCTTGCTCGCTGTTAACAGAACTCATGTTAAATATCCTTATAAGGGACATTTTTTTTTTTATTAAATTAGGAATTCCAAGTTAAATATTAGTTTACCTTGGTTAAAGCACTGTTGTGAAATGAAATTGTGCCTGGGGCTGTCGTTTCCTGATCGAGGGACAGCCAAAGTATCTTACCTGTAGGTTTTACCTTGAACTGATCTACCTGTATACATCTGTCCGTGATGGATAGACAATGAACTGGATTAATTGACATGGACTTAATTGCCTTGAAATCACAGAATGTGACCTTGATCAGGTACAGCACATCAGAATCCAATTTGACCACAGGTGAATGGTCAATGCATTATCACTGCCTAGATTCTCAGGTATATAGATATCATATTGAAAGAAATGTATCTGTCAGCGGGTGGGCATGTTGCCCTAACAACCTTTATAACGGACACTAAAGTTGTTTATATACCTTAAACAAGGGACAGGTCATTACCACATGGCCATCTGTATACCTGTTATTTAAATTACCCCTAAGGCCTAGCTGCTGGTGTGGGGAACACACAGTAGGCCCATGGGAGGAGGGCTGTTACGTCCATGTATGTGTAAACCGTCATTTTTGTGGGGGTTTTTCCTTCAGACTATTATGATAGTTGGAATAATTTTCACGCAATGCGGTTTATGATGATTTATTTTACAATTCGTTTCGACAAATCTATATTCCGTAAAATTTTCGACCGAACGTTTCACAAACGCTTTTTAAATGGAAAGATGTAGACGCAAGTGCTACGGAAACGATGAGGAAGTGCTACGGAAACGCTAAGCAAGTGCTACGTTAATGCTACGGTAATGGTACGGAAGTACTACGGAAATGCTACGCAAGTGATACGCAAGTGTTACGCAAACGGTACGGAAATGCTACGCAAATGGTACGCTGAAAGTGGAACAGCGAACGTGTACGGGTCTGTATTGATATCCTTTCAGTAATTTGTTGATATTTTGTTATTAAGCTGTTGATATCCTAGTATTATGACATAGCGGCTTGATTGTTATTAACATCTTGGTTTCCCGTCATTTCACCATGTGTCATTAACTGTTGATATTGTAACGAACTGGGTCCCTACGTGGGCGCCAATTGTAACGAAACGTTACCTCCACACTCGGGTTCGACTGCCGCTTTCGCTTGCAGGTTCCATGGATTGTAAATAAAGTATGAAATAGTATTTAGGAAGCAGAGATCGGTGACACAAACAACTTAGGCAGATATAGATTTCGCACGTTTATTGTACATTCAAACTTAACAGTATAACAAGACACGTGGCGGCAGGTGGGTTTCCAAGTTTCACTACAATTTAGTGAAATATTCAGTACAACATGACCCTGTCTATAACTCGTACTCGCTCTATATTCGAGCAAGCTACCTTATCACTA